ACAATTGATTTTGCAACTGGTCTCTGATTTACCTGCTGCCCAGAAAACCTTCTGCAGAACAGCCAGCATGGAGACCCCCCACTGTCAGCCAGGGAAGGTAAAAAAGCATCTTGCCTGCATCACAAATTCAAATTTTTGCATTCGAGGGCTTCTCAACTTAACATCTGCTCATGAATGCAAAAGTGGCAGCCGTTATTGAGGTCACCTGGCAATGCAGGCAGACCAGCTTGGAGAAGGGCAGCCAGACATACGGTGGCTTATTAGGAGCCAAGACATCTCGGGAAGGTGGTGAGGTCAAGACACAAAGTCCGAGTGAAGAACTGTCCTTGTCATCAGCTGAAATGCCCCAAACTGAGTGATGGCCTCCAGCGAACAGCATAAAAGGCCATTAAGAGAACAGCACGCCATTTATTTCTTCCTGGAACAGGGAGGATACACAATTGTGCTTGTCCATACAATGCTCTACCCTTGTGTGGGAACCTGGACTGCAGTTTCATAGGGGACCATGTCGTATTTCATTCTGCTTGGCTTATAGCAGTGTCTGGCACATAGCAGATGCTCAAAAAATGCTCAAAGAAGTAAACTGAATTGTTGCAGTCTCCTTCCCCGCTAATGGGCAGAGAGCCCCTTTACACCAGTCCCCTTCCCCCACTCTACTACAAAGGAACTGAACAAGCTTGTCTTCATGTAGTGGAATGTTTCAGGACCTCTCAAAACCAAATGAAGTATAACATGCCAGCCAGGCCACCTCTACTGTGATAAGCAAAGTCTGCTAAGTAATGAATCAATCTTAGAAGGTGCTTCTGAAATGTTTAGAAGGCTCAAAAGAGCCTTATAGTTTCTAACTCGCATAGCAAACTTCTCCCTTTGTTCCCTGACCTTTGTCAACAGACTAACCTGAAAAGCATGAAAGACTTCTGGTTCTTAAGAAGATTTTTTTAAAGAATGACTTGCTCTAATAGAGAAAAAAAATCTCACTAGTTCTTTAGAAAGCCACCAACAGGCAAAGATGTGTGTAGAGCTGAAGCATTTTAGCAAAACCTGAAAAAAACTTCACTCTGGTGGGAGGCATTTTAGGACTAAGACAATCTACTGGCCAGATGAGATGAGACAGACCCTTCCACCATTTTGCCTTTGAAAAAAATTCAATGACTATCTCAATGTTTTGCCATTGGTTGAAATTCTGGAATTCTTATGAAAAATAAAGCAAGAGGCTTCTCAGAAATTTCTTTACTCTGAGAGGTCTTTCTTCTGTGGATTTCTTGGGTTGACACTGAATCTGTGCCAGAATTTCATCACCACCTAGCACTGCAACATACTGTACCTTCTGAAGCAGTTTCAGGGTCGTGATTGGGTCAAAGGCAATGACCCCATGAGTACCAGACTCTGGGAGTTTGACTGGCCAACACCAGTCACAGGGACCCGGGCCATCCTCTTACTGTAGGGGAAGCTTACCTAAATAAGCCTCAGCCCTTGAAGCTGTCAGACCTGGCTCTTAGAGAGCAACATTTACACAAAGAAAGGAAAGTTTGAAGGCTGAGCATGAGCGCTCCTCTGCCTGGTAACGCCCCACGTCAGATCTTCACCTGACTAGATTCTTCTCAGCACACAGATCTCCACTTAAATGCCACATCCTCAGAACATTCTGATCAAACATTCTAAAGTGGCTCTCCTCCCTAGAACCACATAACCCTCACTTTTTATTTTTTTTAATGAAAAAATTTTTTTTTTTTTAGAGAAAAAGTCTTGCTTTTTTGCCCAGGCTGGAGTGCAGTAGTATGATTCTAGCTCACTGCAACCTCGAACTCCTGAGCTCAAGTAATACTCCTACCTCAGCCTCCCGAATAGCTAGGACTACAGGTACACACCAGCCACTATGTCCAGTTAATTTTAAAAATTTTTTGTGGAGATGGGGTCTTGCTATGTTGCCCAGGCTGGTCTCAAACTCCTGGTCTCAAGCAATTCTTCTGTCTTGGCTTCCCAAAGTGTTGGGGTTACAGGCATGAGCCACCGTGCCTGGACCACTTTCATTTTAAAATTTTTAATTTTCCTCTGTGCACTCGCCTTCTTTATTTACATCTATATTTTTGCTTATTTCCCTCCCCACAAGCACCCTCCTGGCCTCTGGAATATGCCTGGCATATAATAGATGCTTAATAAATGTGTGGACTGTTTATTTACCAAGAGAGCTGTTAAGAACAGCATTTCCTCTAGAACGGAGCTATTAGAATGAACCACATGGTACCAGGAACTCAAAGACTTAGCATGACTTAGTACTAAAGAGAAAGTGCTAGATCTCTTTCTAGATTCTTCTCACATAACAGTGAAGAGGCTCTAAGTCATAGTCTGATTACCAGTCCATCTCTGGGGGATCCATGGAAATGGATGAGGTAGATCAATACCACTCTAGTATTATGGCAAGAGATGCAATCTTGGTATTACAGGATTATAAATATTAGAGTATTTTATATTATAAATCATTCCAACAGAAAACTACATATTTGCCCATTTTGTTTTGGTGAGAACAGTGCAATTGTTTGCACAGTCTTCTTGTCGCATCTGCTCTGGCCTGTCCAGTAAAAATACTGGAGCCAAAAAGTGTAAATGGGTTCAGGATAGCTTTTTAAACAATGAGATGGGGTAAATGCCATCCTCTACAGTCATCAAGAAGCATTTTCAGCTACTCTTGGAAATTCAATAATAATTGTAAATGGGTAAGTTTAGGAAAGCTTGGTGCCTTATCAAGATTGCTGTGAAATATGAAGGCAAAGTATTCAGGTGAAACACAACGAAGTAATATATAGTAATTATTATTCTATTCACTGATTTATTTATTAGAATGACAATGATACGATACACTTCCCAACAATCTTATTTGGCTTTCTAGATCCTTGAATTGGGTTTAAAATTCTTTTAGGCAAGACTAAGAGCAACATAAGTGAATAATGCCACAAAAAAACCCCATTAAGTATGAAAATCTACAAGATGACGCAACCATGCTTGAGTTACAAACAAAAGAATCGACATTCTACAAAGAAGAAATACACTGTTAAATCTATCATGCATTCACTTTAATGGTAGAACAATTGCATTGCATCCATCTAATCTTGTAATTAAGATTCAAATAGGTGCAAAATGATTACTTTGTACTGGCCTATCAAAACAGAAGACATTGTAGTTATAAGCTTTCTGACTAGCAGTAGTGTTTTAATTATAAATGCCTGGCTCATTATTTGCTCAAGAGTGAATGACAATTAGCTTGATCCTATTGCAACTGTTAATGCTGTTGGTACGAAAAAAATGGGCAATATTGAATCAGGTTTCTGATATTTCCCTTCAGTTTACAATCTTCTGATTGATACTATATTCAAAATATACTTAGTCATTTAAAGTCACAGGCAAGAAGGAAAATGGCTCCCAACAGCCAAAAAAAAAAAAGGTGTTGCAGGAAGGGTATTTCATGGCAAGCCTGGAGAACAAAATCAGTATGAGATGAATCACGTTCTAAAATAATTGAACCAGAGAAAGACTCCAAGCAAAATATTTTAGTTGGCCACAAAACAACATGACAACAACCACCACCACCCTTCAGCCCATTAGAAAGGTTCAATTCTATGATAGTGCTATGGAATAGAATATTAGATAAACTGCTAGAATAAAGCAACCATTTACACAGATGGTTTTGAATCTCAATGTTCTTCAGATCGAAGCAAACCTCGGGGAGGTTTCAGGTTTAGCACCATCTTCCTAACACATCTATAGAGATATTTCCACAAAGGTTCAGGGTGCACTTGTCATTGGAGGCGTAGGCTTGGATTTGGGTCCTTTTCTACCGAGAGCACTGAGGTTACCAATGGAGGGATCAGGGAAGGCAAGAGCACAAGCATTTTCTGATTCTCAGAATTTCTGAAATACCTTTTGTTTCAGTGGCGCTGGTGAACTTGTGATAATGAAACTACACCTCTGTACACAAACCTTGACCTGCATTCTGGAGCATATTGCAAAGAAAACCTTAATTTTGAAAGTGCTGAGCACAAAGGAGGGAGAGAAAAGCTGTCACTGTGCAAGCTTTCTCTATATGTTTAGAAACATGGCTTAATTTTTAAGGCTTGAAGACCGCATTAAAACCATCTGAAACCAGTTCAGATTCTATATGAGAGGAAAAAGAACTGTAAATTTTTCATTAAACATTTGTTTCCTTTTTAAAGACATTCTTTTGCATATCTGTTATTGCATGTTGAAATACGATTTGGTTACCAAGGAAACAGGTTCTGGCCCAGTGTTAAATTTGAAACTAAAATATATTTGAGAAGTTAAGCTCAAAAGAAAGAGCTCATGAAATTATTTTGAAAAGTGCCAGAACCACAGCTATATGGTCTGCAATGAACCATTCTAGGGGCTCGGTTTCATTCAGTGAAGCTCTATTTCTGTTAAGAGGGCCATCTATATTTAATATTTCCCTCTTTGAAAATTGCAACTCCTCATCTCCCCCAATTATATACATAATATAATATATTCTTATATATTACCTAAAATTAATTTTGGAAGCATATTAGTTTTTATTTTCATCTTTCATATAACACGTTTAAAGACCGCTTCTTAAAATTTAAATATTTTTAATGTTTCTTATTAAGCTTGTTTACGCTCTTTGAAATCATCTCCAGAAACCCATTTATTTTTAGTTTCAAGCTGAAATGGAGCTGAATCATCACTCTTTTCAAAAAATTCTTTTGTTGTCTAATGGCACCACACCTATCATATATATGATTTTTAAAAAAATTAATCTCCCTTTTATGGCAGAATCATTTAGTAAGTTTGTAAAAGCTATACATTTATATACTATCTGAAGAGCAGAGGCTATCCAATTAAAAACCCTCCCCCAAAAGATTACAACTGTCTTATTTAATTTTTGTTTTTTTAAAAGTCATATTCTAATGCATCTAATGTTCTTGCTGCATGGCTAAAAAAAAAACTATAAAAACATGCAAATTTCAACCTACCTGTGTGCATCACTTAATGCAGTGCTAGCATGACAAGACACTCAGCCATTTTTATGTAAAGCGATGGAGACCAACTGATTTCTCTGTCTTCTTGCTCACAAGTTTTAGATGCAATTGTCACATACACACAAAAATCATACGCAGAACAGCTTGAATGAACTGTGATCACAGAACTGAATTTATCAACAGGAAAACAGGATTGAAAAAAGAAGTTTCTCATCCAAGGTTTCTCTGAGACTGCAACCAAGGAGGTGGTGTGTTGAATTTTTTTCCCCTTCCTCCTCTGAGAGTTCAAAGCTCGGAGCTGACCACTGCAAAGGCCACTGTCACATTTGCTGAAAATCAAACCACTGATACCAGCATTGAAAATACAAATTTGAGAACCCAAGTTGCTTGCACATGATGGAGTGCATAAGAGTTAAAAATAGAATCCACCTTGCCTCTTACCTGCATAATAAACATGTAAGTTTCAAGTGTTTAATTTGATATTCACATTAATTAACAATACAACATACATTATTTAAAAGACAGCAAATGCACGAAGAAAGGAGAGACACCATCTGGTAGCAGAGTTTTGTTGTTGTTTTTGTTTTGAGGGTTTGTGGGGGGTTTTGGTTTTGTTAAAAAAAAAAAGGTAAAATCATATTTTGAATGTGATGTAAAGCAAACATCCAGAAGCAAATGAATCGGAAATGAAAGGTGATGTTGAAATATCTAAGGCTGTAATGAGGCAAAAACAAGTCTTCGCTACCAGATGATATGGCATACAGAGCATTTACATACTCACATCTGAAATACTAGGCAACGTGTAATGAATTCTAGACACAGCATGCACACACAGCACAAGCACGACTAATCCTGCCTGCCATCTTAGGCTCGCAGAAGCAAGATACGTACTGCATGCAGCACACGAGCACTGGGGAAGGAGGAGGCAAGGGACAGCTCACCTTAAATGCAGTATCTGATTAATGTTGTAAGTGACATTGCATATCAGCCTCAGAGTCTTGGTTCAACTGGGTAGGAGGGAACAAAGAAAAATGTCATCAACTGGTGATGCAAGATGAGCCCAATCACTAAACACTGTTTAGCAAACTCCAAATTCTGCAACCAGACAGAAGGCATTTCATATACTTAAGCAGAGCTGCTCCACAATGAATGTGTCCTTCTGCTTCTGAGAATCAAACAATCCTTTTGCTAAGGAAGAAAATAAGCTGGAAAGAACACTCTCATATTCTCTTCTTGAAGAAAGCTTTCAATACAGTATGTATCTGGTCCGGGATGCATTTTATAGATTGTTAATTTTATAGAATTGCTAAGAAAAAACCAAAACTGTTAAGCTCTTGCAAAGTAAAGAATAATTTTGATAAAGGGTATAGCATTTCTAGATTATTTTTCAAAACCCTAAATGGTGCCGGCAGGCTTGTAGAAGAATGCATGATCAGCTGTCTGTATCTGTGCTATAACCTTTAACCACGAGCAGTGTAAATGTATCCTGCTAAATGGATCTGCAGTACAGAGCGGCAGATACCGCCTCAGAATTTTATTAAAATATGAATGGATTTTTTAAAACTTGGAAGCAGAATAAAATCAGAACAGAAAAATAAATTGATGCTGAATTCCTCTGGCTGTATAGCTGGCCATCATGAACGATAAAAGCTATCCTTAGGATACTGACCTAAATAATACGAAGACTTACAGCAGCATACTGTATGCGTTCAGAACATAAAAAATGCAAAATGATTTTTCTTCTCCCTCCCCCTCCAAAAGCTAAATTTTAAAGTAACAAGCCATTAATAGGAATACCAAAAGGCTATAGATAGTACATACTGTAAGAGAAGAAATTGTATTGTGCTGAGATGCAATGTTTCTTTGTTTTACTTTGAGGCTTATTTTAGCTACGCTTGCATGATGACATTGACATCAGGAGGTCAGTGCTGACACCGGGTTGATATCCGTTTTATGAGTGAAATGTTTTCTGAAAATTAAATCTCATCTACTCAAACACCAAATTTCATGTCGTCTTCAATACCACCTCCCCACCCCCACTGCTCAAGATTGATGGGATCTAGTTTGGCGGTATGTAATAAATTGGAATCACCTTCTGCAGATACTCCACTACGTAATGGTGAGGAATTAATTTTTTAAATAAAAAACCTTCAAGAATTCTTATGCACCCCCTTTCATTCCTTCCTATCAACACACACACACACACACACACACACACACACACACTCGAAGCTCGAATTGCAATGAAATGTTTAACATGTGGAACAAAAACTGTTGAAAGAGCTGCTTATTCAGGATTTTAAAGAAATGCCTAATAAGCAAATACGGTTTTGCTACAAAACCAGTGTCACCAGGTCCCCAAAGAGGAAAACAGCATAGCTTGCTAGCAAAATTTCCTCCAGATCCTGCCGGCAGGTAAAAAAACAAAAAAGCATTTTATTTGCCATGCTGTATAAAACAAGAAGTCTTTTATTTTTAAGGAAATAGAACAGATTCTTTTCCACTCTATTTCTTTAGCTACAAAGAAACCATACCCACCCCCACCCGTAGATCCTGGACATAAGCCAACATTTTTATAAAATGCTGAGACTGATTTTGAATATGTAATATTTATAGTTTTCTTCTTCTTATCTCTCCAAAAGTCTTTAATTGCCTATTGCCTCACTGAATATGCTGTTGTTAATTTTAACATGTGCAAAAATGAGTTGATATTTTCTGGGGTTGCTAGTTTTCCAGCACCTCAATCTTCTGTAAGGACTGGCTGAAAATAATCAGGTTAGCAACATATTGAAGTTCCCCAGAATTTTTTTAAAAGAGAAAATATGTTCAAACACCTCAGCTGAGGTACTAGGTTTCACAACTGGATCTTTTGTTTCTAGCTCTCATTCTATCTCCTGCCCCAGAGCATAAGTGATTTTTAGCTTAGTGTGTGGAATGTACCCTGCCTTCCTATATCCTATATACTTTAAAGTCTCTGAGTTGAGTTCTCCAGATGGTCGGTCATACCTGAACCATAGCGAGAGTCCTCTTCTCTTTGGAGTACATCTCTCTCTCACAACTACTCCAGAAATAAATGTGGCTCTAACGAAAACAGTAGCTCCTGGTCTCATACCAATAGTGGAACCATCTTCCCCACCCCCACATCACTGCTCTATGAGTTCTGGTTAGCATTGACAGCGTCAGAAAATTAGAATGGAGTGTCCTTAGGCCAATTCCTCCTTTACCATGGGGGTCGAGAATTAGAGGGATGATCACGGTGAGTTATAAGGCACCAATTCAATATACGGTCATCTATGAAGCAGAGTCCTTAGAGTGGGGTGGGAGGAGGTTGACGCAAACACCTAGGCATTGAATGCTCTTCATGTCTGTTGAGATATTCCCCATTAATGACGTCTGAAAGCTAGACGTTCATTTAAAAATACTCACAAATTATTATCATGTAGGCTAAATATACACGTTACGGAATCAACTCTGACCACATAGAACTAAGTCGTCTGCTTCCTCTGTTGGGAATAATAAATGACAGTGACAACGACAGTAATCCATATTAGGCTCCCAGGAGATGAGTAAATAGTATTCTATTCCCTTTACAGGGAAAGGTGGTGAATGTGGTCAGGTCCCCTACTGGTACTTGTAAGCTAGATGCCAGGGCAGTTTCCAAACCCCCTATGGGGTTCTCTGTCCACCCTCAGCCTAAAAGCCACGTATTGGTTTATTTTGTGATGTTCCAAGACACTCAATCAGTAAATGTGGTACGTTTACCAGACCTGCTCGGGTTAAACAAATACGAACTATAGTTGAGAATATTCAAAGCAATGAGCTTGTTTAGGCAGACATTATCAACTAGTAAATCCTGTTTTATACTTTCAGAAAACCATGATCATGCCTGAATTACTTAAGCTTTGTCATGATTACTAGTGGCAAGGGTATGCATTCACTTATGATTTTAAAAAATTGCGTGCTTCTCATCAGCCTCCTCGGGGCATGTGCACAAACATTAATTTAAAAGGCAAATCCCTTTTCCACAGTGAACATTTTAGCCTGTTTCTGCCACTTTGACGAGTCAAATACGAGGAACCTGAAATAATCTGGCAGGCACAGGCTGGAAAAGGACAGAGCTAGAAGTGAAGGGTGAGCCTTTCACTTTGATTAACGTGCTTACTTGCTCGCGGTCTTGTTGTTCCGCAGGCTGAGCTAATTTTCTTTGCAGTCCTGTGGGTTAAAGTTAAATTGCACGGCTAATGCAATGTACATAATTCAAGTATGAACAAAGCTTGACTCTCTATGTTTTTAAAAAAACATAAAGTCAGGGCACTGAGTCCCAGAGGAATACTTGGTTTATAAACATTTGGATCAGTTTGCATGCTCCTTTATGCTGTTCACCACATTAAACATTACAGCTGGGTTCTTTTTACACCTAATAGAGATAGTCAACATTTGTGGGTACATTGTTGTCAGGTTAGGTTATTCTAATTGAAATAAAAAAATAAAAGTGTTTACCAATTACACTTTTGCTTAAATTCTTAGTATTTAAAAAGTTTAAATTTTTTAATGAGGTTGGTTATTAAATCTGTCTATAGTGTATTTAGTCCTGGAAACAACACGGTGACTTAATTTACCAATGACCAAAAATGCCTTTGGATTTTTGAGAAAGTTCAATGCTACTTTGAACATCTACATCTTCCCTAGAGACCTGGGCAGGAACTTCTGCCTTCCGCATTGATCAGAGCTAAAATGTCTATACTAGCTACCCTTATGGAGGACCTACTACATACTCAATATTTTAGCTACATGTCCAATATTTATTTCATTCTAACCCAATAATTCTGCAAGCTGAGTATCATCAATTTTAGGTGAGGAACTAATAGAGATTATACACAGTAAATAGCAGACTTAGCGTTCAAACCTAAGTTTGATTGATCGCAAAGTCTACGTCTTTCCACCAATCCTAAGAGGATAAAACTTCCTCCTACGTCCACACTCCATCCCTGATGTCAGTAATCTTCTTATTGTGCAGACACCTGGTAGAGGACCCTATCTCCCTGGAGCCTTGACTACCTCTGTTTATATGAATCAGCCTCTACCCTCCAGGCCCTAGGAATTGTGGGAACCTAGGATGCCACCAGCTGGAGACAGGCTGGGCCCAGCTGGTGGAAAAGACACAATGAAAGAGAAGGAATCAGCTGGACCATGTTGGAAAGTTAAATGTACAAAGCAGAGTAAATATTTTAGTGGGAGATTTGTCATAATTCAAAAAATATTTTGTGAGGTAAAATAAATGAAAATAAATGACATAAATATATTTCAGATGGAATGTTTATTTTTAATAAATACATTTTCAAATGGAAATGTATTTATTAAAAACCTAGTGGAGTCTAGTTTTTTCCCTCTCACAGGTGACCAAACAGGCTGAGAGAGATCCAGTGATTTGCCCAAGATCACACACTTCATGAGTTTATTATTAATGCAGCCTTTCACTATATTAAAAATTATAGCTAGTTTCCTTTTACACCCAATGTATTCAGCATTTGTGAATAACTTTTTTATCAGGTTGTTAGACTGTTCTGCTCTAAATGATCAGTTAAAGAAAAATCAATGTAACAATCAGACTAGCCTGTTCTCTTTTGTTTGTTTGGTTTTGGGTTTTCTTGAGACAGAGTCTTGCAATGTTGCCCAGGTGGGACTTGAACTCTCAGTCGATTCTCCTGCCTCAGCCTCCTGAGTAGCTAGGATTATAGGCTCATAACACTGTGTCCAGCTGAAACTGACCTATTTTCAACTCACAAATAGTATTTTTCTCCTAAACAGATAGCCTAAGTAGCTATTATGATTTTTTTCCAACATATTTTTAAATGGACTTTTAAAAAGCCTAATTTTGAAGAGATTTTCCTCAACCAAATTTACTGTTTTATTTTATCATTAAAATGATTTAAACACTAAAACCATTTTAATGACCCTGTTTGTTAACATCTGTTCATTTTGCCTCTGTCTCGGGTCCCTTCCAGTTCTGAAAGTTTGTGATTCTAAAAAAATCAAGCCCAGCTTGTTTTCTAGGTCAAGTAGGCCAAGAGCTGGACTCCAACTCTCCTGCCTTCTGGTGTACGTGGCCAGCTGACTATCCTGTTTCATTTGCAGTAATTGTATATGCCAACAAGATGGCTCTCAAAGGGGGCTTTCTAATCCACCAGCTCCACCCCACCTGGGAATAGGAGAAGAAGACTATCTTGCTCAATGCTCATAGGCAGTAGAATGAAGGGTTGGGTGAATGACATGCTTGAGGATTCTGAACTCCAGGAAACATTCTCCAGTTCTTAGACACGAGCGTCCTCACGTCCATCCATTAGCATCTGCATAGGATGTGAGAAAGGAGTACACACCTGTTGGCAAGGATTGAGCAGCAAACCTTGTGGACCAAACTGGGGTTACCCTCCAGGAAAGAGCTGGAAGGAAAAGGGAACTGTAAACCATGTGTTTTTTAATAAAGGAAAAGTGGCAAATGACATAGGCTGTAAGGCAGACTGTGGCGGACAACATCTCAACCCATCCTAACCCAACTCAAATCCTCCTGTGGGAGCATCCTCAACAGGTGTCACCACCATTATGGAAATCACTACCTCAGCTTTAGCAACAGAATAGTTGCTGCTTTCATTTCTCAGTGCATTTGAAACATGGCATGAATAACGACCTTGAGTGCCCATTCCTACTACCCAATCACATGTTCATTTTCTGCCATGACTGCTTGTCACGCACCAGATGGAGAGCAAGTGAAACAACAGGGCCTTCTAGCTTCTGAATTGGTAAAACACATTCAGCAAGGAAGTAGAGTTTCATATTTTTGGAGAGACTGGCAACTAGGCTGAAAAGGGAAGGTGGGGACACAAATGAAGGTAAAAAAGTAAGAATTCTTACAGATCCATAAAAATTCACCTCATGTGAGAGCATAATCTTCTCTTTGTATCTTTCTTCACACCCTGGGCAACAAATATTTCAAAACTTAAACCTGGGAATAAATTTACTTGCTTGCTCTTCTCTCAGATAAATGATGTTGCAGCTCAGAAAGGGCCACAACAATGCACCTCTTCTCAGTCAGAGCAGCTTAACAAGCCTCAGTGAGTCTTCAACTCCTTTCGACTAAAGAGAAAAGCACAATACATTTGGGTTGTATTGAATTATCTACCTAGGCCCATGTCTCTGGCTTGCTTCCTGCAAGATCTTTGTAACTTCCAGGGCACTAGAGCATTTCCTAACACAATGGAGAGGCTCACTGAGGATGTTTTGGACTCACCAACACCAAACTCCAGAGTCCTTTCTCTACCACTACAGTGGGATCCTCAGCTTTGTATCATGAAGCCACTTCCTAAAGTTCAAGTACTTGCTTCAGGAGTTAAGGAATGGGCTTGGGGGCTGAACATCTTTCAATTACTTAATCACTTGTTTACCAAGGACAGCCACAAGTTGTCTGGCAAGCAGACCACAGTGCTTTGTGTAAACCTCTCTCTCCTAGAACAGGGAAAGAGGAGACAGGAATAAGAGTGGCCTGACAACACTGCCACAGCCTCCAAAGAATACCTCAACATTTTCTCAGGCCCTCAGTGGCACAGCATGTTTCACAGAATTAAAGGACAAGGAAGACTCTAGAAAATTTCTTTCAGGAAGAAGAAAATTGGGTTCAAAGAGAGTGTCATATTTAAATAAAGGCCTCAGCAATGAGCATAGAAGCCATATTCCTTAATTTCTAGCATTCTGCTCTTTGTAATTCAACACACTGGCTCAATTAAAAAAAATTCTAAGCTTTCAGATACTTAAAAATAGCTATAGGTTAATTGAATTAATGACTAGATGACAGAATGGAGGATTTATGACATGTTTTCCAATCCCTCTCATGAAAATATCGTACTACATTTGTTCAACTAAAAACAAAATTCAACTAAATATAATTTTAAGCAAAATAGTCAATGTTGGCCAAAATATCACCTGGAACTTCTCAAGTTCACTTGAGACTTGTCAGAGAACCAGACTTGATTGCTATATTAAGTCAATTGACTAAGTTTAACCTGCTGAAGTAGCCTTTATCCTCTTTGGTTTGCAAAGAAAAATCTCATGATTTAGCATGAACGGCTAAAAATAAGCTGCAGGTTTCATTTTCCGTTGTTCAGTATGGTTTTGAAACTAAAAGGTGCAAAACTACGAGATTCACCAACGACTACGGAAAGTCAACGATTAAAATTGTCACCTTTCTAGCATACGATCCTGGTTGCCAACTCAGCCAGGCCCGAGAAATGCGCACCGCTGTTCCTCTCATCACGGTCTCTTGAGATGAGTCCCTCTAATAACTAAGGCACAGTTGGAAGCTGGGGGCTGAGGCCAGTCCTGGGGTAGCAGTGGCTTGTGAGTGTATTGTCACATCCGGACAGGATGCCGCACAGACTTCAGCCCATATGCTCAGCCTCCATCTTAGGTGATGCTGGGGACTCCTCTGCAGAACCTGGGAGTAAATACAGCTCGAGTTTCATTAAGATAGGACTCCGAAGGTGGTGAGTGCAGCAAGTCCCTCTTGACCTAAATGCCCATGACCTTGTGCAATTCCATACTGCCAACCCAGGGAGCTCACAATGAATTTAGTTTCAAAACTGTCTTTCCAGGGCCAAGTCTGGCAAAAAGGTGTTTGACAGAGACGTAAATGCTTCAAAGAGAAGGCAGCCATCTCACTCTGTAGCATTCAGCTGTGGCACAAGGCCTGGAGACAGCAACGCTGTTAAAAGAAAGCCCTCGGCTGAATGAGATTGAAAGGGGGCAAAGAAGGGTTAATCTTCTTCCATTAAAGGAGGGCCCATTTAGTGAAGGTGAAGAGTATAATCTGTATGAAGAGCAGAGCAAAGAGCCATTCCAGAAAAGAAATTATGGCACAGGGGCGAGAAGGATGATTTGTCCTCGATTTTCACCATGAGACCATTGCTTAGATCTGAATCTACCTAGCTTTGAAGTTACGGTCTCAGGGAGGGGCAAATGGGGCACATTCACATTCAGTGCTGGCATACTTGAGCTTTGATTCCATCCGAAATGGGCTATCAGTCTCTGAGAAGCAGAGGGTGCGGCCAAAGCCAGCAGGACATTGTAGACTTCAAACCACAAGTTAGAAGGCGGCAAAATAAACAGCAGGAGTTGCTCATAAGGGAGAAGCCGGGGATAAATCCCCCTCCTCAGGGTGGGAAAACCCTGTTTTAAACATAGTTTTAAAAACTTTTAAAAAGTTTTAATATCTTTTTTTGTGAAATAGCATAAGATGTACAACAAGTTATACAGTGTCTACTTTCTCCACCTTCCCCCAGTGATGTCTTACATAGCTGTAGTACTTGGTCTAAACCAAGAAACAGACTCTGGTATAGTTCAAATAAACACAGATGCAGTCTTATGTGACTTTGCCAGTTTTTACATGCACTCTGTGTGTGTGTGTACCTGTATGTCTACAGTTCTATGCAATGCATCACACGTGCAGGCTGGAGTAATGACCATCACCATCAGAACAGAGAATAGTCACCACCACAGTTCCCTGAGCTCCTCCTCTAATAATCACACCCATCCTCCAACCTAACTCCTGACAATCACTGATCTGTTCTCTATCACTGTGTTTTTTGTTTTGTTTTGTTTTGTTTTGTTTTGCTTGTTGAGACAGGGTCTTGCTCTGTCACCCAGGTTGGGGTGCAATGGCACCATCATGGCTCACTGAAGCCTCAAACTCCTGTACTCAAGCAATGCTCCCATCTCAGCCTCTCAAGTAGCTGAGACCACTGGTGTACAACACCATATCCAGCTAGTTTTTAAAATTTTTGCAGAGGTGGGGTCTCCCTGTGTTGCCCTGGCTGGTCTCAAACTCCTGGGCACTCCTGCCTCGGCCTCCCAAAGTGCTGGGATTACAAGCATAAGCCACCGTGCCTGGCCTATCACTATGATTTTGTCAGTCCAAGAACGTTCTCTAAATGGAATCATGTAGCATATAACTCTTTGAGATTGGCTTTCAGCAGAATGCCCTCGTAATCCATTTGAATTGTATGTAAAGAGCACGTGCATGTTTATTGCTGACTAGTATTTCAAGGTGTGGATGTACCAGCGTGTTACCCACTAACTTGCTGAAAAACATCTGGCTATTTTCCAGTTTTTAGGTATTACAAATAAAGCTGCTATAAATGTTCATGTAAAGTTAATTGCGTGACCATAAATTTTCATTTCTCTTGTGTAAATACCCATGAGTAGGACTGCTGGATCATGTGGTAAGTGTATGTTTAACTTTTATAAGAAACTGCCAAACTGTTTCCTAGAGTGGCTGTACCATTTTACATTCCTACAGGCAATGTAGGAGAGATCCAGTGTCCCCACATGTTTGCCAGTATTTGGTAACCTCAGTATTTTTTATTTTAGCCATCTACTAGATGTGTAGGGGCTCCTTTTGATGGGCCACAGTCAAGAAGGCAGTTAAACTCTGTGGCCTTCCAAGCTTAGCTGGGGTGACTTCAGACGTCTCTCATTGCTCCAGTTTTCCTGGTAGCTGTCTACACAGCAGTTTGGGCTGTCTGGCACTTACATGATGGAAAATGGGGTGGTCTCTCTGGATGAGGGGGTGAGTCTTCCAGTTTGCCCAGTTGCTCTTGACTGCAGTGGTGGGACATTGCTATCTGGGGATGCTGAGACTCTTTGAGGCAGTGCCTCTTGGACCAGCAGGAAGACTTGAGACCAGTGGCACATGCTCCCATGGGGTGGGGCAGGTGAAATGACAGCTGTGGGGCAGGAACAGAGTTTGCCTGGGTCAGGGTCTTCCTGTAGCTTTGGACAGAGGCTGTGTGAATACTTTTAATTTCTCAGGTTAGATTGTTATTAGCATAGTGTGAGAGGAAGCGGGACATGGAATCAATGTAGAGAGGCAAGGGTGGGACCACCAGTGGCACTTGTCAAATCTTGGGACCCACTGAACAATGTTTGCCCTTGAACTTTGTACTCTGTGACCACCCAAGACTCTCCAGCAGCATGTGGACACGTTGTCTGGATGCCATGGAACTCCTATTTTTGTCTCCTGTGGGTGAGATTTGGAAGCACTGCTGTCACCACCACATGGGCTTTCCTGGCTCAGGGGTCCAGGTCTCATGAGCAATTAGAATGTCATCTGAGTATCAGAAGGTGCCTCATTCAAGAAAGTTGTGCAGGACAAGGTGATGGGTCTTACATAGGGCAAACATTATAGTGAGGACTTGAACTGGCCCAGCCATTCTTGGAAAGTCACCCTTCATCTGATTCGAGGTACCTAGAACTCTTACTCATCATGACCCTGGAGCCATGAGTTTGGACCAGGAGGCCAAGAATCAGGAGAGTAGCAATCCTGAACAGGGACACCCTTGAGATAATGGAGACGTGCATGGGGCAGTGAAACTTGGGGATCATCTGCAAAATTCCCTGGTGGCTAAGCCCTCAGAGGGTGCTGTGGAGGAGCTCCTGTGGGTTCTGGCTCTTGTGTGTCACCAGGTGCCTTTGCAGGGGATCAACATTGACGGAGGCATGGAGGAACCTAAAGTTGATTTCCAGAACCTGAACATGAACTGGGGATGGTAGGGACCTGAGCAGTCTGTCCAGGCAGAACTTGAAAGTCAAGTGATGCCATGGTGGGCTCTGGAAGTTGAGGCGGTGGAATGAGAGGAAGCCGGGCAGATACTGTCAGGCAATCAGTGGGTGGGGTTGATGGGTTTCAGCAGGGTTATGCAGTCAGGATGAATGGTCAGACTTCCTCTTAGAAGGTGGTGAGAGTTTAAAGAAATTGGTTTTTTGTTCATTATGGTCTCTGCTATAATTGTTTTTTGCATTGTTTCCTAATTTCCATTTTCAGGTTCCTCCTGCTCCGGCCTGCCTCCTCTCAGGCTGTGCTTCTACTCACCTGCTGTCAGAAGGCAGCCCAGAACACAGCACCTTTCAGATTTAAAAAGGCAGGCACAGCTTGGGGCAGGTACTGTGAGGTCACACAGTGGGACTCCATCCTTGAGGCTAATTCCTCTGCAGCTGCCCTTGAGCTCTTGCTTGTCTTCCTTTCAATTCATCCCTGCCTTGACCTCAAATTTGCCCACACATTTTTGTCTGGCACTTGCCCTGACCCTGCTCCGCTGTCTTGGTTTCTGACCCCAGATCCCACCTCCTACTGTGCTTTTGTGGCGCTGATCACATGGATGCTGCCTGCACGGCTGCCCTCTGTTCTCCTGGGTCCAGCTTCTTCAGTGCTACCACCTCAGGGATCAGGGCACACAATGGTCTGGCCCCACTAGGTGACCAAGATGGGTACTTGGGTCCCTCGCTAGGTCTAGGCTGCCCAAGAGTGTCTTGAAGTATGGGCATGCCTATCTGAGGGCAGGTAAAAGCTCCTTGGCTGAGACAGGAGGTTGCCTCAGGGGTCAATCTTCTCACTGGTGCCTTTTGTCTCTTACCCAAAGGTTGGGTGACTCTGGGCCCTTTGTCTAGTTCAATCTTTGCCACTAAATCTCTGAGTGACCACCAGGAAGTAAATGAACCATTACGGGACTCAGTGATTTCATGTGTACAATACGGTTTCTTGCCTAGCTAATAATCTTTTTACTACATCATATCACAGTTAAAGGAAACTCTAAAAATCAGAAGCCAAAAAAAGGCTTTAAGTTAAATTCTGGTATAGATATACTAGCTTAGAGTTTCCTAATTTTTTTTGTCTAATAAATGTTTGCCAACTGAATATTTGTTGAACTGAATGCAGCATGTCAATAGTTCTCAGGCATTAATGCAGAAGAACTGGGAGGGCAGATTAAAATGCATATCCCCAGGCTCCTCCTCAGAGCTTCCAATACCACTGGGGCCTAGCAGCATGCATTTTAATATGAGAAATGAAAAAAGACCAAGGTTTTGAAATAGACACTGGTACCTTTCTAGAGGTCAATTCACCAATATGCATTAGAAACTTTAAAAATAGTAGAACACTAAAGTCTATCAAAATGTCCAACAACAAAAAATTGATACATTAAAATGTATCAGTGCAATGGAAACACAGCCATTAAAAATCATGTTTTCAAAGACCATTTAGTGATTTGGTAAAACGTTTACAACATAAAGTTAAATGGGGGCAAAACACCACATAAAATACCATCTCAACAATTTTTAACATTTTGATGTATTTTTTCCAATTTTTTCTTGTATATATTCTTCTCTCCTTTTAAAAAGGAGAGAATGGGGTGGGGTTGGGGTGAGGGGTTATACCAATGCTCTTTTGGACAAAGATGAGGGCTCCACTCTCTCCACTATGGCTTGGGAGGCACTACCCAAGGTCAATGCCTCCGTGGAGTAATTTCCAAGCCTCCTTGTCCCAATACACTAAGAGCCCCATAGAATGCCAGGAATCATCTTCTTTCGGCAGAGAGATGACTCATCCATCTTTCCTCAAAGGTTTCAGTGAACCCCAGGTTAAATGTCCCTGTGAATAAGATCAGAAGCCTCTCAGTGGGGATGACCTAGAATCAAATATGCTTTGGCTAGTTAGAAGTTGTGCTAAGGCTCCCAGATGAAAGTCAATTTAGAAAGACAAAAAAATATTTAAAATAACAAAAATAACAATATCAAAAGTCAAAGCACCAATACTGACCATAATTATGACGACTTGTTTTTTTATCAACACTTTTTTTTTTTTGCTCTGTTGCCTAGGCTGGAGTACAGTGGCCCAATCTTGGCTCACCACAACCTCCGCCTCCTGGGTTCAAGCAATTCTCATACTTCAGTCTCCCAAGAAGCTGGGATTACAGGCATGTGCCACCAAGCCTGGCTAATTTTTGTATTTTTAGTAGAGACAGGGCTTCGTGATGTTGGCTGGTCTGGTCTTGAACTCCTGGCCTCAAGCAACCTGCCCACCTCGGCCTCCCAAAGTGCTGGGATGAGAGGGTGAGCCACTGCGCCCGGCCTTTATCAACACTTTACCTTGATGTGCACTTTTCTAAGCTGCCCAAATCATTTTGCATATATCACCTACTTATTCTGACAGAGTCTCAGCATTACATTTTCTAACGATACTATTTTGGAGGTAGGAGGGAGCTTGAAAGTTCTGATGAAAACCAGAAACTTCTTGAGTTAAAAACAAAACCCTGAAGTGTGGTATTTTCCAACTTGGTTCTTGACAAGAAATTAGGGGATTTCAGTGTGAGAAATTATAAAGCCCTATTACTATGAATTCTTAGTTTTGGTGAATATGATGTGGTATTTCTGCCAAACTCTCTAAGGAGAGTGACAGAACATTCATGATGCTGACCCATGGGGAGAAAGGAGCTTGCACATCTGTGCTATGACAATTCTAAAACCTCAGGGATTAAAATACCCAACTAGTGTAAGAGCGGCCTGTGTGAGACTGTGTGCTCAGTCCACATCTGCTCAATCATGGCTCAACAAGGCCAGGCTCAGATCTTTAGATAACTTAAGCTCTGAAAAGACTACAGTGCCTCAAATTTGAATTATTACTCCTATGTGAAATTAAAATAGAAAAAAATAACAAAATGCAAAATTAAGGTTAAGAAAGCTCAACAACGTCTAACTTTTCCCAGACTGTCTACTTTGATGCTTTTTTTGAAATGTCAAATATCAAAATATTTACAAAATGTGTGTTTGTACACAATCCTGCTTTGCTGGTGTTGTCTGTGAGGTCACTCAGCATCCAGTGGTCACAGGGATCTATGGCTTTCTTTCAAACACCAAGTGTTGAACAGTAATGAAATTCTGGTACCTGATGTGGTGGTCTCACGCCCCTTCCTGTAGTAATATGCAGCTAGAAATTAGAAATCAGGAGGCTGGCCCCTCCCCCAACCCTAACACCATTCATATGTCAACTCCTGCTTACTTAGTGCTTTGAGGAGTCATAACAGATGGTAGTTGAAATTAGCAAGCTGTGATTAGCCATTCTCCCACATGAATGGACCCTGACGTTGACTGAGACCTTTGGCTCTGCCCTTCTTGAAAGACTCTGTTAGGCTAGGACTTCCAGCAACACATCATCCCCATTTGGCTCCAGCTTTTGAAATCTGGCACATATTCTTTTTTTTTTTTTTTTTTTTTTTTTTTTTTTGGTAGACGGAGTCTTGCTTTGTCACCCAGGCTGGAGTGCCGTGGCGCGATCTCGGCTCGCTGCAAGCTCCGCCTCCCGGGTTCACGCCATTCTCCTGCCTCAGCCTCCCAGTAGCTGGGACTACAGGCGCCCGCCACCACGCCCGGCTAATTTTTTTTTGTATTTTTAGTAGAGACGGGGTTTCACCGTGTTAGCCAGGATGGTCTCGATCTCCTGCCCTCGTTATCCGCCCGCCTCGGCCTCCCAAAGTGCTGGGATTACAGGCGTGAGCCACCGCGCCCAGCCAAAATCTGGCACATATTCTTAATTTACTCCTTCAACTGCGCCCTTCTATACGGCGCTGTATTCCTCATTCACCTGGTCTTTTTTTTCTGAGATGGAGTTTCTCTCATGCTGCCCAGGCTGGAGTGCAATGGTGAGATCTCAGCTCACTGCAACTTCTGCCTCCTGGGTTCAGGCAATTCTCCTGCCTCAGCCTCCCAAGTAGCTGGGATTACAGGTGTGCGCCACAGTGCCTGGCTAATTTTGTGGGTTTTTTTGGTTTTTTTTTTTTTTTTTTTTAGTAGAGATGGGGTTTCACCGTGTTGGTCAGGCTGGTCTCAAACTCCTGATCTCAAGTGATCCACTTGCCTATGCCTCCAAAAATGCTGGGATTATAGGCGCGAGCCACCGCGCCCAGCCCAACCTGGTCTTATCATTAGCTTACACCACAGCCAGCAACCCTATCAATAGATACTTTCAGTTCCTAACAACTTGGAAAGACAGACTTTCAGAGGCTGAAGTATTTTTGCAGCAACTCATCTTGTTATTCTATTCCACTCCCCCTCAGCTCCATCCTGACGTGAGGGGACTGGGCAGAGGTTAGGCAGCCGTAACAGGAGAGTAGGCCAGGCATCAGCCTCTGTCAGATACCTGAGAAGCTGTGGCAAATTGGCCAGTAACAGGCATCCCTACACAATAGACAATATGTGCTCTTCAGGGTGTGGATGTGGGTGCCAGAAAGGTCAAGTCCAGGGGCAAAAGTCAATCAGAAACCAAAATGTTTAGTCAGATATTGACAAAACTAGAGAACTAGGTACCAGGCACCTCAGACTTGAGTTCATTTTTATCTCACACCTTTAAGTTTGGGGCGTCACAAGGCACCCATCATATGCTTTCTATTCACCAATGAGGGGAATACTTCGCCAACATCAACAATGGTTAGAAGGTTACATAAAATGTTAAACTTATTAAAAGTTCTCCAAATAGAGCTTACAACTTTACCACTTGTTATTTCAGTAAATGTTTTGAAACTTTTCCTGAAAATGAAAAGCTAGACATATATATCACATCCTTTGGGGCAGCATTAATAGCCCCAGCCTGAGACTTTTTAGTCTACTTTTAAATGTTTCTCGGCTGGGCCCGGTGGCTCACACCTGTTATCCTAGCACTTTGGGAGGCCAAGGTGGGTGGATTGCTTGAGCCCAGGAGTTCAAGACCAGCCTGGGCAACATGGGAAAACCTTGTTTCTACAAAAAATACAAAAATTAGCCAGGCATGGTGACGCATTCCTGTAGTCTCAGCTACTTGGGAGGATCGCTTGAACCTGAGAAGTTGAGGCTGCAGTGAGCCATGATTGCGCCACTGCACTTCAGCCTGGGTGACAGAGTGAAACCCTGTCTCAAAGAAAAAAAAAAGTTTCTTGGCTGGGCGCGGTGGCTCATGTCTGTAATCTCGGCACTTTGGGAGACCAAGGCCGGCAGATCACGAGGTCAAGAGATCGAGACCATCCTGGCCAACATGGTGAAACCCCAACTCTACTATAAAATACAAAAATTAGCTGGGTGTGGTGGTGCACGCCTGTAGTCCCAGCTACTTGGGTGGCTGAGGCAGTAAAATCACTTGAACCTGGGAGGCAGAGGTTGCAGTGAACTGAGATCGTGCTGATGTACTCCAGCCTGGCAATAGAGTGAGACTCTGTCTAAAAAAAAAAAAAGAAAAGAAAAGAAAAGAAAAAAACAGTTTCTCTAATAATTTGGTTTAAAGGTCTCACCTTAGGGAATTTTTCCCCGATCAAGTATCTCAAGACCTGGAGCAGATTAGGTAGGATACATTTCCAAAGCCTCCAGAAGCAGAGAAAACTACAAGCTAAGGAAGTCAAGAGCTTTCCTACAGACTACTGGGGCTCCTAGTTGGGGGAGCAGAATTCTGTCACAATTCCAACTAATATGACTAGATCCAGGAAGGAGACAAAGCCGGTATAGTCCTAGACCAAGAGGATACTGAGGGGAAAAATAAGGAGAAGGAAATAAGGAAAATGTCCTTCGTGGTTCACTGGCCATGGGCAACATGATGGTGCTCACTCAGGGTCATAATGGACAGAGGTGTTGAGAAATCTCATCCATTGCATCTTGCCCTCATGGCCAGATGTTACCTAAGAGTGTCAGTCAGGAAAATCTAAATGTGGATAATTTTTTTACTTATCCCACTGTTTCTATGCAACTTTATCCTTGAGAGTCTCCAAGTTTCTTTTATGTGCTGTGCCAGAGAGAACTACTTCTTCTTCAGAAACCCTCCAGAGCTGTCACTGCTAAGTGGCTGCCCCATCAGGGACTACATTTCCCAGACTCCTCTGTGGTTAGTTGTGGTCATGTGATGGAGTTTTAGCCAATGGAATGTGAGTAGAAGTAATACGCACCACTTCTAGGCAGGGCCCATAAAAAACTCCCATGTGCACCTTTTCATGCTCTTTTCTTACTTCACTGAGGAGTGGTGACACCCCCAGGCGACCCTGAAAACCACATGCTGCAGAAGGCAAAGTCCCTTTCTACCTGTGTCTCTGAATGAATGCATGAAAAACAGTTGCCCCACTGACCTGTACTGTTACATAAGCAAGAAATAAACTATTGTGTTTGAGCCACTATAGATTTGGGGTTCTATTATAACAATTAGCCTATCCTAATATTGTTTTTGATACAGCTGTTATCATTGTGTACAGAAATCTCTGTGCCCTTTCCCCCTTTCTTTAAATCTTACCGTCAACTGAAAAAGGAGAATTGGGAGACTTAAATTTAAGTAGCTGTTGGGGACAAATGACACTTACCAAATTAGTGGTCACAACATTCAGATCTCAGAGCCACAAGAACAGGAGTACAGCAGAGCCTCACTTCAAGACCACCTAATATATTAAAGTAAAACAAAAAGTAAAACATAAGGCCTATAAAACAGATATTTTAGTGTGTGATAGTTAATTTCCAAAGGGAGTTGTCCGTTTACAAAGGAATATGCCACTGTTTTCCAGTAAATGACAAGCTTCCTTACTGCCTTTAAAATGAGACTTACGCCTCCCCGCTCCCAATAATTTTAACATAGAATTTCTGAAGAACATATCTCCTCCGATACGTCAGCTGTACAAAGACTAGATGCTGACTCAGGGGATGACTTTAGAAGCCAGGAAAATCAGGGTATGATTTCTATGCCTGTGTGCCGTTCTCATGTACATGTCAAAACTTTTCTCTTGGGAACTTAACTTTCTTGGGTAGGAACTTCCAGAGGCTGTGAAATTACAGGCTTTGTGAAGAACTATGAGTTTGTAGTCAAAGTTAAAACAGACACATTGTGTCTTTGTGTTTAATGTCATCTGAGATACCATGGCACAAGTAGGAATGAAAATAAGTCCTCTGTAAACAGGGCAATAAGATAATGTAGGTTCATACACAGAACAATCAGAAACGTGCGCAGTAAAGGCAGCACAGTTGTGTGCATCTTTTTACCACGGCTGTCATCTTTTACCAGGTTAAGTGTGAAAATACCGTTTGATGGCACAGGACACGTATTTGCCTCGAACAGGGTTAATTTTTATGTCTGATCGCTCAGTATAAGATCTAGGAAGCAAACAATCCAGAACTCTGAACAAACATTCTGACCGTCTGAAACAGAGTACTCAGGTGAGGGGAGGAAGAGGAGGCAAAACAAGAGGGTTGACAGGGAAAGGCATCAGTTGGGCCATTCTCCCCTGGGTTTCCGTCTTAGTATTGTTCTTTTTTTTTTTTGCATTCTTTTCGGATCCTGTGGAGAAGAGAGATATCAGATCCCTTTGGGGCCGTATTTAGAGGGTCTCCCAAATGCAGTCCCTACTCCCAACTCTGGGCTGGGGCTTGGCAAGCTGTAGGCGTCAGGGAACAAGATGGCGCCCTACGGTGAAGGGCGCTGAGTAAGGGGGTGCCAAAAGTGGGCCTTCACTTACTCGGAGGCGCTGGCTCCTCTGAAGCCCAGACGCTGCCAACTCCCTGGGCCCAGGAGTCACAACCGCTTTCGTGCCCTGGGTTCTTCACTTCTTGTGGCGATCAGCTCCACATATTTTTCTGATGATGTCACCCATTCTGACTTCCTACATTTTGAAAGTTGATCTACAAGTAAAATCTTTCGTGAGGCTTAAAAAAAAAGAAGAAAAGAAATAAAAGGTGTGCTGTAGGGAGATGGAGAGGAGGAGAAAGGCCGTTGCCTCTTTATTTTGAGATTTGCTGCAGCTGCGAGTGCCACTCCCCAGCTAGTTTCCTGGCTTCAGAGGGAGGCCAGTGGCCGGGCGTGGGTGACGTCAGGGCCAGGCCTGAGTCATCGCCAGCAGCCCGGCTGGGCTGCCCTGCCACTCGGAAGGGGACAAAAGGAACCTTTGATGTCCAGAGGCCCTCCTCTCAGCACACTCGCCGGCACAGACCAGCAGGCCAGGAGAACATTCCTGCCGTCTCCCCACCCCCAGCTGCCCTTCCTACTTCCGGAACAGCCCCAGACAGATTCAACAAGGCCTCCCCAAAGGACATCACCCTCCTGCATGGCAGAGGCATGGCCGTGCTCTGTCAGAGAAGCAGGGAAGAAGAAGAGGCTGTTTCCCTGGGGACCTCTCACTGCCCCTCTGCCATCCCCCTTCTGTGTGGTGCCCACCTACTCAAGGAGTTGCAGTGGTATTGAAAGAGATGCGGAAAGGTGGAAGGCACTTTTGTCACCATCCCCGGGCAGCTGCTGGTGGTCAGCGTCTATTCTCCTCTGCCTCTGTACTGTGGCCCTGGGCTTAGCTCCCTGCCCTAGGTGCCAACATGAACTAGCTCTTCTTGGATTTAAGACATGACTGCTCTTTAAAGGGGATATTTATATCTCAGTGCCTGGCCTGAGGCTTGGTAAATATATGATGAATTAAGGAATGATAATTGCAAAATAAAATAGTAGAGGACACATATTAAATACTTAGAGTGAACATTCAAGCCTCTGTGCTTTATGAAGATTATTTCATTTATTGGTTATCACAACAAAAAAGCTGTGAGGTACGTACTATTAATAGTCTTAATGCTATAGAGGAGGAAATGGATGCTCAGAGAGGTTAAGACACTTTTCTGAAGCCTCACAGCTAGTTAGTTCGTGGCAGAGTCTGGATCATCTAATCTCACATCCTGTTTTCTTAATCACGGTGCTGAGTGGCTGGAGCGAATGAAGGAATATTGACCAAGGGCACCCTGGCCAGGAGAAAGGAGACAAGGATAAAGATGGGACTTGAAACCAAATCCTACAAGGAAACAGTGAAACAATTAGGAATGTTCTGGCAACATGGGCCTCAGGCCTTCTTACTGCGTCAACACCAGGTCTGAGGTTTGGCAACTGGGCGGGTTACTCAGCGTGGCCAGGAGGGCGAGTCAGTCATCAGGTTCAAGCGGGGATGAGAAACTAGGGAGGTCGGATGGACGCAGGCCTGTGGCATGTGGTAGATGCAAAATCCGAGAGCCACGGGGGACAGAGTACCTCGGCGGGAGCCAGAGTCCATGCTTGTCTTTTTGTTGCCTTCTGGTCTCACGGATATGGGTGGGAAGGTCAGTGAAATTAAAGGGATACATCTGGGGTAGACAAGAAGGCTACAGGAAGAAGGACATGACGGCACTCTCAAAGACTCTGGACTCAGAAAAAGAGTTGGAACTGTGGTGTGGTTTTAGAGTGCAGGAGCAACGGGAAGGGACAGGGAACAGATCTGGACCTGACAATGGTAGTTACTTTCTACTCTTAGCGCCCTCCTACCAGGAATCGGCTGCCTTTCTGGGCCTGAGGGAGAGTCCTGGCAATGACTGTGGGCAAGCAAAGGCGAGGAGGGGTGGCGAGAAGAGAACATCTGCTTTTGGGGTATCTGGGCCCAGTGTAAGAATGACCTACGAGGTAGCCTCTCCCCGTGTGGTTTATGATTCTGTGGTTTGTACTTTTCCATGATTCTTTTAGAGTAAATGTCTCATTCCAAGAGGAAGACAAAACCAGGAATTTCCAGCCCCTTGTGGAGGCCTCCTCGATAACACACCCACAGCTTTCCTTCCCACTGTGGGTGGGGTGTCAGGTCACAGAGACCACTGTCCCTGGCTCAGGCAATCTGTGCCTCTGATGCCTGGGACATTGTGTAGTTCTACCTTGTTCCTGGGAGCTCTGCCAGTTGCCACTCTGAGGAATTGCACTTGTTCCTTGTAGTTTGAATCCCTAGGCAGGTGGAATTTATAGAGGTGAATTTCACAAGAGAGAAAGCCACATGCTTTTAATCAAGGGAGCAGCAGCAACTGATCAGGTTCACTGTCAGTGTCTGCACACAGCCTGATCTTGGGCTGAGGAAATCACTTTAAGTTCCAGGCATTTTTGGCAGAAGACTTGTTTATTCTTTTCTTCCTTCTCTGCAGAAAATGCCTCTGGGCACCTCCCTGCTCTGTTTCCCCAAAGACTCAGTGGCCTTGCTTGCTTCATACACACAGGTATTTATTTCTCTAATAAGATGAACAAAGGCTGATCATTTCTTCACCCTGCATCCTATCAGGATAATGTGAACAGAAAAATAAAGAAAAGAAGCAGAAATTATCAGTAAGCTTAAGTGAGACACAGATTCTTGGGTTATATGCTCTGGGGTTGATACTAACAGTGAACATAAAATCAGAGAACTGGGACAAATATCCATTTGAAGATACAGAGAAGTAAGTACAATATCACTTCCCTAGCTTCTACCTGAAGTGGAGCAGCCTCCTCCTTTGCTACAACAAATGCAGTTAAATGCTGGTAATTAAAACCAAACCTTTATTAATGCAAGGAATTCCTTGGAAGACTTGTCTATACTTGTTGCCTTAGATTTCTCTCATTTCATTCCCTCTCTTTAAAAAAAATTATTATTTTTTTTTTTTTTTGAGACGGAGTCTCGCTCTGTAGCCCAGGCTGGAGTGCAGTGGCCGGATCTCAGCTCACTGCAAGCTCCGCCTCCCGGGTTCACGCCATTCTCCGGCCTCAGCCTCCAGAGTAGCTGGGACTACAGGCGCCCGCCACCTCGCCCGGCTAGTTTTTTTTGTATTTCTTAGTAGAGACGGGGTTTCACCGTGTTAGCCAGGATGGTCTCGATCTCCTGACCTCATGATCCACCCGTCTCGGCCTCCCAAAGTGCTGGGATTACAGGCTTGAGCCACCGCGCCCGGCCTAAAAAAAATTATTAAGGTGTAATTTACATACCATAAAGTTCACCCACTTAAAGTGTACAATTCAATGGGTTTTAGTGTATTTACAGAATTATGTAATTTGTAATCTATGTTTTTAACGTTTTTTGTCACCCCCCAAAAAAACACCGTGCCTATTAGGTATCATTCTTCATTTGTCCCCACCTACCAGCCCTAGACGACCACTCATCTAGTTTCTGTCTCTATAGATTTTCCTCTTTTGGATATTTTCTACAAATGGAATCATACAATATATGGTTCAAATATCTGTCCTCTCCAAAACTCATGTTGAAATTTAATCTCCAATATGGCAGTATTGAGAGGTGGGGTCTTTCAGAGGTGGTTAATCCACTCATGGATTAATGATTAATTGATTAATGGATTAATGGGTTATCACAAGAGAGAGACTTGTGGCTTTATAAGAAGAGGAAGAGGGACCTGAGCTAGCACTTTCAGCCCCCTCACCATGTAATGTCCTGTGTCACCTTGGGACTTGCCAGAGAGTCCCCACCAGTAAGCAGGTCCTCACCAGATGTGATCCCTAGACTTTGGACTTCTCAGCCTTCATAACTGTAAGAAGTGAATTTCTTTTCTTTATGAATTACCCAGTTTCAAGTGTTCTGTTTAAGCAACAGCAAATGAACTAAGGCATAGAATAGTTTAGTACTTCATTCCTTTTTATGCCCAAATAATATTCCACTGTGTGAGTATACAACATTTTGTTTATCCAAATCTCAGTTGATGAACACTTGAGTTGTTTTCACTTTCTGGCTGTTATGAATAATGTTGCTATGAACATGCATGTGCAAGTTTTTTTTTTGTGGACATGCATTCATGTCTCTTGGGTAGACACAAAAGAGTGGGATTGCTGGGTGATATCATACTATGTTTAACATTTTGAGAAACTGTCAAACTGTTTTCCAAAGTGCTGCATCATTTTACATTCTCACCAGCAATTTATGAGGGTTCTGATTTCCCCACATCCTCACCAACGCTGTTATTGTCTGTCTTTTTTATTATAGCCATCCTAGTGGGTACAATGTGATATCTCATTGTGGTTTTGAATTGCATTTAACAAATGACTAATGATGTTGAGTGTGTTTTCAGGAGCTTATTGGTCACTTGTATATCTTCTTTGGAGAACTGTCTATTCAAATCCTTTATCTTTCAAATTGGGCTTTTTTTTTTTTTTTTTTTGATGGAGTTTCCCTCTTATTGCCTAGGCTGGAGTGCAATGGCACCATCTCAGCTCATTACAACCTCCACCTCCCGGGTTCAAGCAATTCTCCTGCCTCAGCCTCCCAAGTGCTGGGATTACAGGCATGCGCCACCATGCCTGGCTAATTTTGTATTTTTAGTAGAGACGGAGTTTCTCTATGTTGGTCAGGCTGGTCTTGAACTCCTGACCTCAGGTGATCTGCCTGCCTCGGCCTCCTAAAGTGCTGGGATTACAGGTGTGAGCCACCCGGACTAAATTCTTTTTTTTTAAATTTTTCAGTTTTAGGGATTCTTTATATATCCCAGACACAAGTCCCTTATCAGATATATTTTATAATATTATCTTCCTGTCCATGATTGTCATTTCATTTCTGGTTGGTGTTATTTGAAGCATAAAAGTTTTGAATTTTGATGAAGTCCAACTGGTGTCAAACTCCCAACCTCAGGTGATCTGCCTGCCTTGGCCTCCCAAGGTGCTGGGATTATAGGCGTGAGCCACCATGCTCAGCCTATTTTTTAATTTTTTTAATTTTTGAGTTTTAGGGATTCTTTATATATCCCAGACATAAGTCCCTTATCAGATATATATTTTACAAGATTATCCCCCTGTCTACGGTTGTCATTTCATTTCCGGTTAGTGTTATCTGAAGCATAAAAGTTTTTAATTTTGATGAAGTCCAACTTATCAATCTTCTCTCTCATCACTTG